ATACTTGAAGAAGCCCTTCTTGTTATCCTTGATATCCTTTGCCAAACTTAGTTCCAGGTGAACCTTGGCCTTTCTAGTTGCTTCCCTACATGCTCTGGCAGCATTCCTGTATGCCTCCCAAGTGGCCTGACCCTCCTTCCACATTCCATGGAGCTTACTCTTTTCTTTGAGTTTTGCTAGGAGCTCCTTGTTCATCCATGCAGGCCTCTTGCCTCGTTTACTTGATTTCCTACTCACAGGGATGCACCAATCCTGAGCATGGAGGAAGAGCTGCTTCAATAGCAGCCAACTCTCTTGGACTCCCCTACCTTCAAGAGCCTTAGCCCATGGAATTCTTCCAAGTAGGTCCCTGAAGAGGACAAAGTTAGCTCTCCTGAAGTCCAATGTGGCAGTCCTACTTGTTGTTCTGCTTCCACCTCTCAGAATCCGGAACTCCACCATCTCGTGGTCACTGCAGCCAAGCCTGCCCCCTACCTTCACATCCTCAACCAGGTCACAAAGTTATCGTCGATGTTCTGCAGGAACCTCCTGGACTGTGCGCACCTTGCCATGTGGTCCTTCCAGTTGATATCAGGATAGTTTAAGTCTCCCATGAGAACCAGGGCCTGCGATTGCGAGGCTACTTTTAGCTTTCTATAGAAGGCCTCATCTACTTCCTCGTCCTGGTTGGGTGGTCTATAGTAAACACCCACCACAGTGTCACCCATGCTGACCTGCCCCTTAGTTTTTACCCACAAGCTTTCAACATGTTCTTCATCCGCTCCTGGGTAGAGTTCTATACATTCCAGTTGCTCCTTTACATAAAGACCAACTCCACCGCCTTGCCTCGTAGGCCTGTCTTTCCTGAAAAGCACATAGCCATCGATGGCAGCATTCCAGTCATGCGTGTTGTCCCACCACGTCTCTGTAATCACGATGAGATTGTGGCCCCGCATACAGAACTCTAGCTCTTCCTGCTTGTTCCCCATGCTGTGTGCATTGGTGTAAAGGCATTTCAACGAGGCAACTGAGCACCTAGGTTTCTCTGGAGGGATGAAAGAGGGTCTGCCACAGCCAAGCCCACCTTTAGGGCAGTTGGTCTTTTGGTTCTTAAGTTGGGAGGCAGCTATGGCACATTTACTGCTGCTCTGAACAGACACGCTTGTTCCCCCATCGGATGCGACTGCGACCTGACCGTGCACCCCACCGCCCGAGTCCTTTCGTTTAAAGCCCGCCGTACCAGGTTGGCCAACCTACAGCCTAGGATTCCCCTGCCTCACCTAGAGAGGTGGACCCCATCCCTCCCTAACAGGTTGTAGTCATCGAAGAACGTCCCGTTTTCCTAAAAGCCAAAACCCTCACGGCAGCACCAGCCACGTAGCCAGGAGTTAATGTACATTATGCACCTATTTCTGGCCCCCCCCTTCCCTCAAACTGGTAAGATGGAAGAAAAGATAACCTGGGCCCCAATGTTTTTCACTTGTACCCCCAGGGCTCGAAAGTCTTCTTTGATTTTACCCAAGCTTCTGCTTTCTGTATCGTTTGTTCCTACATGAAATAGTAGTAGAGGATAGTAGTCCGTTCTCCTGACAAGTTGTGGCATCCTCTCAGCCACGTCTCGAACCTTGGCTCCCGGAAGACAACATACCTCACATGACTCCCTGTCAGGTCAGCAGATGGGTCCCTCTATACCCTTCAACAGAGAGTCACCCACTACAAGCATTCGTCGCTTCTTCTTACGGTGTCCACTATGTGTTGTTGGTACAGTTTCCCCCTGCAGGGGACTCTGCAGACCTTGCTCACATGTGTCCTCAGACATTAAGGCTTCATATCTGTTTCTGGTTGAGATGGCAGAGGGTGCAGGCTGATGTGGAGTCCTGCTTTTGTGAGTCACCAGGCTCCAAGGTGCCTCCTTCTCGGTGGAGTCTGCCACAGGAGCATGGTTCTGAAACCACCTGTCAATCTCAAATTTTACTGACTGGCTTCAGGGCTCTACCTACACACACCTCACAAGCAAATTACGGTGCCCACAGAAACCTTAAGAACAGACTGGATTGCCCCCACCTATTTTAATGAGACTGATCTCTGCCCAGCCTTCCCCTGCAGCCTCTCATACTGTATCACATAAGGCAGCATCCCTACAGCACACTGCTAGCTTTTGTGCATTGTTTCCAATGATCTCTCCCCAATACTGTAATATTCTAAAACCAGCTTACTTGAACCTATTGCTAAGGTCTCTCTCCCAAGTTACCAATGGAGACAACAGTCTGCAACAACTTTCTTTAGAGCAAAATAATTTTAAAATACAAGTGAAGGGTGATTTATAACAAGTTACCCCAGGGCCGCCTTCTTTGATTGTCACCAAAATCTGCATGAACGGATTTGTCAGGGAGCAAGATGCACAGAAAGCCCTCATCCAGCCAGGCTGACACAGACTCTCCTCAGGGCTCCTTCTTAGCCTGAATACATGGCCAGGCATGTGAGGGTTCAAACAAACGCTGGTGCTAAAGAAAGCCTTTGTCTGTTCTGAGGAAAACCACAACATCCATCCCCCAAATTAAAGAAAATACATTTTAAAAAAAGATTTTTTTTTTCTTCTTTTTAAAGAATAACACAAAGACTCTCTCTCCCCCACAGAGCCCTAGCACTGCTCCTGACTTTAAAAGAGACCATAAATCCACACAGGTGAGCTCTTTCATCCCATTACTGCTCAGTAATTACACCAATGGAAAATACGACCTAAACCTCGCACAAGTAAATGTATTTGGAGCCTTCACGGGCTCCACAAGCCTTGCTCCTTCAGTTGCCATTATAGATGAAGCACAACAAAGTGCCTCCCAGCAGAAATTAGAAACCTTTTAGAACCCTTTTCATACCAGTTTCACCAAATGCACTGAGGATGCTTATAAATATTCAGTATGAATTTTTAAACTCTCTTTCTCTCATTTTCCCTCACCCCAATTAGCATTAGAAATCGTTTTACTTTTAAATACACAGATGGGAGCCAAGTCTGAAGTCAAAGGCACTCACTCACTATAGCGACAAGGGCCATGTAAGAGTGGAGCCAGCTAGAAACACCGGCAGGCCCAGGCATCAAAATAACACAGAACAAAGCACCAGCAAGAAAGGATTAATTCAAACATTGGTGGAGAAATGTGAAATAGCACAGAGGACTAAAGCTGTGCCAGAGCTCACCCAACATGAAATCCAGTTCACTGTGGCCCCAGGCGAGGATTTCACACTTGCTCATTAGTGCGCTATAATTACTCCGAAGGCTCAGCATAAGGATCTCAGGTGGAGCCAGGGATCTGCACAAGCTCCAAATGGCCCTGAAGCCTGGCACAGCCAGGTCCAGGCCTGAGTGCTGTGACTCAGTCTTCCTGGCTTGTTCCTCATTGCACCTGTGTCTTATTTAGCTGCCTCCACCGAAGCCTCATCCGCTTGTCTTGGCAAACCCAGCACTTGGAGGTGTTAAAGCCATAGCTTTAGCTCCCAAAATGTAAATCTCATATTAAAACATCATCATCAGATGATCCTTGTGAAATCAACTGATTAGCACACAGTACAGCATTGCTCCTACAAAATAATTCAGAAATGCCTGACTTAGATAATTACGTAGGTTTTCAGCTCTGTTTCACATGCATATCCAAGCACCCCCTATGGGAATCAGCAACAGGTGGTGGTAATAAGAAAGGACTGTGACTACTTGGTTGAGAGATCATTGATCTATCTGTTCTTCCTTTTTTTCCAGAAGTCAATGGAAATATTGTAGTAAGTATGGCAACAAGGCTACCTGGTATTGTTATTTAGGATCTTGGTTATCCCATAAGAACGTAGCAACCTTGCTTAGAAAGTTCTGTTAAGTCTTTCTTAAGCCAGCAGTAGTTTCCAATGGCTTCTAAAAGGTTCCTTCACTCCCACAGTTAAATGTCTTGTCCACTAGAAACAGTATGAAGTCAAATGTGATATCCATAGACTTTGCAGAATATGTGCCTTTGTGGGTTTAGTAAATACAGGGAAGTAAATGGAACCTGTTGTGGACTGCAATAATGCTTACATGTCCAGCCGGTCCATGTGGAATTCATCTGAGCTCCCCACACACACACCAAAAAAAAAAAAAAAAAAAAAAAAAGAGGCACTTTTAGAGCAGATTATCTGACCTGTTTTAGGTGACCATGTTAAAATGAGCAGAACTGAGTCCCAGGACCACCTCTTTCGCTCCAGAGACTGTGAGAGGAGTGCAGCTGCCCACATTCAGGTAGATCAATTCTGACGTTAAATGTCTAGTTCTCATTTTCTCATCAGTTTTGTTCTTGCATTATCACACACATGGTGCTTCCAACCGCTTAAGAAACACCACTCCACTGGTTTGATTTCAAGTTTGCGATATTTGGAATTTGGTTTGCAATTGAATGAATCATAGAGGTTTTACGTTTTACTGTATTTATCTCGCTGTTAAGTTTGTCACTGAAGAGCTTCATCCTGCAAGCACGTAACAGTCATATAAGTCATCAGCAACAAGACTGTGGATTTGCTGATAGTTATATCAGTGAATTGGAGAAGCCATTTGAGGCTTTTAGAAGAGTTATTCTAGTTTATGTGAATGGATCTGTTCATTTTAGAGAGTTTTAGCTGTTACTCCCCAGTAACCATAAAACCCATTATCGATTCTACCATGTGCACTTTTGAAAGCAGGATACTTTCCAGATTTGGAGAAGCGGAGAATGTTCTTGCTTATACACTTATATACATGAAGGCTTTCGCAATCATCGTTATGTCCTCTTAAGCAGCTGTGGAGGTGTCCTGCAAGAAGAGCACCTCAGCCAAGCCTCAGGCACCAGGAGGAATGCTGGAGCTCAGCACCCAGAAAAGTCACCATGAGCATCTAACAGTTGTGTTGTCATTTTTAGCAGCAACAAATGGCCACTAGGAAAATGAGACAGGCCCTTCCGATCATTCAGCTACGCGGCTCCATAACAACCACATACATAACAGATAAACATACAGATCACTTAGAATAATAAAGTAAATATGATTCCATCAGAAGCTGAATCGATTACATTTTCTTAAAGCAGGTATCAGCAGTACAAAATGAAATTTTTCCACAATTTGGGAGAATTTTACTTAACCTGTTAAAAAAAACCCAACGCCCCCAAAAAACCCAACATCCCCCCAAAAGCCCCCTAAAAAAGCCAAAAAAAGACAAAGAGAAATTAGACTCCAGACTTACTTTAGGGGCACTTGCTCCTAGACTTAACTTTCGTAACTTGCTCATGTTAGTAGTGACTTCAAGGGATTATTGCTCCTGAACTGTGGAGTGTAAATAACATCACAGCCACAAAGCCAGCCGGTGCTTGACCTGGTTAATTAACTGTAGTTCATTTAGCCTGTGACAGTAAATGCTTTAAGAATACAAGGAAAAAAAGGATGATGCCCCAAAAGTGTTTTTGCCAGTTCTACATTTTATGACCAAAGGCAAACAAAACTTTTGCTATTCATGCCCATCTCCTGTTTGGAACAATAGGGTCCTCTGCCATTCTTTCAAGGCCCTTCTGTGTTTTCAAAGCATCTCGAGATGGTAATACTCTGTGAAAGTTTGTGCACCTCAAATAACCTTCTCATCAAGATCATTCTATCCAGGACCATTTAATTTGTGCCTTCCCTCTCTGCTGTTGCTTCACACGGTCGCACTCTGCTGTAGGACAGAGCCAGGACTAAAAGTCACAAGGCATGAGTTTCAGCTGTATCCTAAATAGTCCTTGTAGCTTAGCCCTGGCCAACGCTCTGAGAGTCTGCTCTTCAGAGATGCTGGGTGAAGGTGCACACCAAAGCTGCTCTATCACTCCCCTCCTCAGCTGGACAGGGAAGAGAAAATACAACAAAAGGCCCATGGGTTGAGATAAGGACAGGGGGAGATCACTCACCAGTTACCACCATGGGCAAAACAGACTTGACTTGGGGAAATTAGTTTAATTTATTAGCAATCAAATCAGAGTAAGGTGATGAGAAATAAAAACCAACACCTTCCTCCCACGCCTCCCTTTTTCCCAGGCTCAACTTCACTCCCAATTTCTCTCACTCCTCCCCCCGAGCAGTGCAGGGGTTGGGGTCAGTTCATCACACGCTGTCTCTGCTGCTTCTTCCTCCCCAGGGGAGGACTCCTAACACTCTGCTCCTGCTCCAGCCTGGGGTCCCTCTCACAGCAGACAGTCCTCCAAAAACTGCTCCAACGCGAATCCTTCCCATGGGCTGCAGTTCTTCATGCACTGCTCTAGCGTGGGTCCATCCTTCCCATGGGCTGCAGTCCCTCAGAAACAGGCTGCTCCAGCATGGGTCCCCACGGGGTCACCAGCCCTGCCAGCAAACCTGCTCCAGCCAGGGCTCCTCTCCCCACAGGTCCACAGGTCCTGCCAGGAGCCTGCTTCAGTGCGGGCTTCCCACGGGGTCACAGCCTCCTTCGGGCACCCCCCTGGCTCCGGCATGGGGTCCTCCCTGGGCTGCAGGTGGAGATCTGCTCCCCCGCGGGCCTCCCTAGGCTGCAGGGGAACAGCCTGGGGGCTGCACCAGGAGCTGCAGGGGAATCTCTGCTCTGGCACCTGGAGCACCTCCCGCCCTCCTGCTGCACTGGCCTGGGGATCTGCAGGGCTGCTCCTCTCACATATTCTCAACCCTGTCTTTGGCCGCAATTGTGCAGGTTTTTTTAGTCTTCTTAAATACATTATCCCAGAGCTGCTACCACCACTGCTGATGGGCTCGGCCTTGGCCAGTGGTAGGTCCATCTCGGAGCTGACTAGCATTGGCTCTGTCAGACACAGGGGCAGCTTCCAGCAGCTGCTCACAGAAGCCGCCCCTGTTGCCCCCCCACTACCAAACCTTGCCATACAAACCCAATACACTGGGTAACCCCAGCACCTCCTAATATCAGGAGAATCTCAGTCAATTACAGCTGTAATATTCTTGTTTCAGTTGCCTTGTATATAAAATGGCATAGTCTAATAAGTACTTGTTTACATATTTTATTTATTGATAGATTAATTAATGTTTGCACAGCACTATAGACTATACTATAAAATTGTAACTGTAAAATGCCAAGTGCCATTGTCAACATTTATTAATGGGTGTATCTACACATATAATATATATGTATGTATGTAATCAGGTACCTCTTTAGCAACAGATATTTGGTAAAAATTTTAATATGTTTAAACAATACGTGATGGAAATCTCTTCTTCATATCAGTACATCTGCCTTAGGGAAAACTCGTATTATAAGAAATATCTTGATCTAGTTATAGCCTGCAAATTGAAGTGACCATGCTACATTTCTAACTAAGCTGGATCAATACCACTGACAGCAATTAGCCCTGCTAACAAGGCCGCTTTGCCTCATTCCTGATCTATGACCCAGCTCTCCTCCTAAGCATGAAACCAAACAGGTTGACTACTATTGTCACACTGGAACCCAATGTCACATCAGCTCTAAAAACACTGAGGTAAAAGCCATGAGATAGAGTGCTATTTTTAAAACAGCATTAAGATGTAGCGTGCCCCAGCCAAAAATTACTGGTACTTTTATCTTAAGGATGGAGAGGGGGCGAGACACGGCTACTCACTGACAGAGTACAGCAGAGCACTTCAGCATTATTTTAAAATCTACGTCCATGCAGCAAAGTGTGTAGGACATATATGTGTGCAAGCGCTCAGCTAATGTAGCACCAAAAAGCAATGTTGTGAACTCAAGCTCTAATGAAGTAGTGCTATAAAAGCAGCTCAGACCAGAATTAGTTGGTTACTGACAAGAGCTACTCAAGAAAGCACAGAAAAGGTGAATTGCACTAATGCAAAGATGCTAGCCCTTACCAACACTTAAGGAAGATTTGTAGCTCTCTTTCTATTCAAAACCTTTATTATTCCTTTTTTCTCCATGTCTGTATAATGCTAGGCTGCCAAGCAATAGCCGATTGACAGAGAGCGCTGCACAGGGAGGTTTCTGTTGTTAGACCACACTGTCTTCCAGTTCCTAGAAAAGGAGTCAATTCCTGGAGAAAAATATGTGCTCTATGGGAGAGAAGCTGGTGGGTAACAATTAGAAACAAAACTGTGACATTGAAGTGATGGGGGGAGGACACCCTGTTGCTTCTTTGTTTTTTTTCCCAGCTTAAGATAGTAGGCTTGAGAAGAGCAGGGCAAGGAAGCTTTAAGAAAAACATTTTCAGTGGAGCCAAGGAAAAGAGACATTGAACTGGAGAGAGCTTCTCTCACCTCCAGTACACAACAGTACTATCGTCACGACCAAATCCTCTGGGTGGGTTCAAGAGCTCCGTATTAGAAGAAAAAGGATGACCCAAATCTGCCTCGATGCTAGCAATAATGATGAGGAAAGAAAGACAGTATCACCACCACCTCTTCCTCCCAGGACCTACCTCATTGACCTTTCAGGCAGCTGTGCAGTAAGTCTTTTTACTGTTTGTTACTACCAATTGATAAATGACAGAAGCTTATTGCTGGCAGAAATTGTGGTCAATTCAGCGTGTGCTGATACGTTATCTTCCTTTTATTACATCAGTTGAGCAAGGCAAACGTAGGTTCTTAATTAATCACTCAGCATGTTTCAGCCTTTAGAGCCTGGAATACTGGGTTTCCCTACCAAGGTACAATATATTTGATGTGAATAAAATATTTTCAGTTATAAGGGAAAAGAAGAGGTTTTATAGAATGAAATTGAGTGTTTTAATTCCCATCAGAAGAAAGAGTCAAAAAAAATCCACTTGCTGTTCTGTCTGGGTTTCACTCTGAACTATATCTGAATTGTAGGATAAATGGAATGGTTTTACAGTTAAGAGAAGAAAAGTACATTTGCCTATGAAGTTTAGGGATTTAAATGGCAATGTAAAAATTAACAGAAATGCTGTGAAAACCAAAAGTCTGTTCACGTCCTGATCCACAACTGTCATGCCACCAATGCTAACAACCCATTTTTCCAAACCTGCAAATATGTTCAGGTTCTGATTCTTCACCCAAATTCAGAATTGACCAATTCTGCTTTACAGTTGGTTCAGAGTAACTTCTAAGTC